CCCCAAAACCCCAAAACCCCAAAACCCCGGGGTTAAAGAGGCTGATTGAATTTTGATTTTAAATTTATCATGAATTTTTAGAGAGAAATTAAAAATTTTATTATTCCTGGAAATTTCGTAAATTTGAGTAAAATTCTGAACTTAGTATCTCATAAATCTGAGATAAAGCACTTCCTTTCCATTTCAATCTCTATAATCTATTAACCAAACCTCTTTATAAACTCACTTCTCTCTTTTCTCCTTCCCTTTGTTCTCTACACAACTCTTCTCTTAATCCACATTATATCAGCATCTTGTTCTTTCGGATCTAACAAATAATTAATAGTAATCATTGCTCTATCCTCTAAACTCAGCCCCAGCTATTATCACTTTCGAAACAATAATATTCTCTTGGAAATACAAAGTGGAGTTTCAGGCAAGTTGGGAACTAATTAGCTAACTTTCCACCTTGCTTTCGCCTTTATTAGAAAGTACCAACATCTTAAGCTCTAAAATGTTTCGAATATTTATTCATCAGGAACAAAATCTCTTCCTCATATGATTCGAACCAAATTTTCTGAAAACGATGACTTTCTGTTATTGGTAAAGTAGAAAGTCAAGTTTGTGGATAGTAACAGCAAATGAAAGATTACGTTCATATTGACAACTAATTTTCTTTCATGTAAAAGAAAAAGACACCGGCGAGTCATGTATAATAAAGAGGGATTCTAATAATTTTAATCATAACTATATTTTAATAGAAATACTCAGGTGTTTCTTCTCAGGAGGTTTAAAGGTTATGGAAGATAAAATTATGTCTTTGTTTCTTTAAAAAGACACTCTACTTCGAAAATATTGGGTCTCTCATATTGATTATGTTATTATTAACCTTTTGTATTCTCATTATGAAATAATATTACAGAGGCTTACCAATATCAAAGTCAAAATTGAGTGCTCTCTAGACAGTAAAACTAAGAAATTACAGGTGCAGGTTTGAACAAGACTCTTTCAGAATTCTTGTGCGAGCCAGCTGGGGATATGCTGCTTACATCATTACCTATATTAAAATGCATTGAGATTTGAGAGGATAGTGCTTCGAGAGTAAGAGAGTATGAATTTACTTTGATTATTGTTCCTAAAATATAAAGCAAGCAGATACCCATAGTTTTGCTTGACAACTTGAAAAGCCTTGAAGTTTTTCCTTGAACTTTTGGACTTTTTGAATTTATTTCTTCTGTTTCCTTTCCTTTTGAATTTTTTCAGTCTTTTTCTAATTGAAGCATAAGTTATAACCTTTTGAAATGGTTTAATAAATGTCTGAAGTACTAACAAAGATTATAAGCTTTGTTAGAATTTTAAAATGGATGTGCTCTAATATAATTCAAAATTGTTTTAGAGTTGTCAGAGACAAATCAGAAAGCACTTACTTTTTATTCAAGTCAGAATCATTATTGGGCTCTTTCTCACTTTTCTTGGGGAGCTAGTTCTATTAAAAAATATAATACCTTCTGAGATTTCTCTTCTGTCTCTTTTATTATTTGGGATTTAGATTTAGGTCTAAAAGTCAAAAGAAAATTTACAGCTTTTGACAGAAAATCTTGCAAAGCACAATTAATATCTATAATAAATTATACCATCTGCTTACTATTTCTACAGTTCGATTATTTTCTCTATGAATCTGGAGAAGGCTAAACAACCATTCTTTTAAAAACTTGAGGTTGATTAAAATAACAGCTATGAGTACAACTCCATTCAGAATGCTATGTTGTTCGTACCCGGAGTACACCAGAGCTGCCATGATGATAGAGATTCCTCCCATCACTGACAAGAACTCTATTTTGTTGTTCTCTTTATTCTTGTAAGGCTTCAACATTATTTGGAGTCGAGCTGTCAATAGAAGTATAATGATTGACAAATTAATTGCAACTTTCAGTTCAAACAAAAGAAGGAATAGAATCGCAATCTTTCTGGTCGTATTAATAAACTCCCAGTAAATAACTTCAGGCTTGAGGCCTTGGTACATCATCAGAAAATATCCCATTATTTTACTATCTCGGTTTTTCCTTCCTTTGTAAATAATAATGAACGTAATTAAGGGACAAAGAATAACCCAGATTATTAAAATCGGAATTGAAACAAATATTCACCACTTTAGATGAGTGGATGAGTATCATTCGATATTGGTGTCAATTTTAGAGACCTTAAAGCCTTCATCAATCTCAACTCATTTGAACATACTGATGCTCTTCTCTGCCAATTTTGGGTGCAGAAGGAACACGATTGTTATGAAAGATATTACAAGATTTCTTTGAATATTTTTGACCCATTTTGGCTTTATTAGCTTTACCAGAATCCACATCGTGGTAGCAAAAATGAATAAAGCTACTGGGAGAAATATCATTAGGAATAATTTGAAAATAGCATTAGAGTCAAACATAAACTTCACATCTGTGTCTGTGATAAAACAGTCGAAAGACATAAAGGCATCAGTTGATCCTCCGAATAACCTCATTGGAACTGTAAGTGTAAGGAGGCCTGCAGGGTAATCATTAGTCATTGTTGTCGACACAGTTATTAGCTGAAGATAATTTGCTAGTATTCTTAATGAAACTGACAACTCACTCTCATCTGTTTTCTTGACGTTGATAACTACCATCAGGATGAAGAAGAATAACACAACGAGGAGAGTTAGTACAACTTGAATAGTGTTTAGAATTTGGTTGGGGCATTTACTTCACTCAAAATCATTAATCCTTTGATATTTTGCATCTTCAGTAACAACTCATTGTGAACAAAGATTGCCAGAATATCCTTCTGCTCATTTGACAGGGTGAATGTTCGATGAACTATGGCAAGAATTTAGATGTTTGAAAAATTTCAATGCTTTTGCAATGATTGTATCATAGTTTTAGAAGTAATTCAATTTTAATTTACCTCAAAGTAATTCTATAAAAAGAGACTAATAATCATGATGGTGCCATAATCATAGCAACGAAACATTTATCAATGAAAGGCAAATTGAAATCAAATACAGGCAAATATCTCTACACAACTAATGAAATATACAGTTTCACATGAAATATACTTGGATTTGCCAATTTTGTTAAAGAATACAGAAGGAACGTTAAAAATTGTACTTAGAAATTTGAAACTGGCAATCATTTAATAGTATATTATTTTAAGTTAGTTTTGAAGAGGAAATATCTAAAGATAAATTAAAAGATCTATCAATCTCTTACTCAGAATTTTGGGAGCTATTTTCTGTACTCACAAATCCTCCATCACAAGCTTCTTCAACAATTCATTCAACAATCTTTGTTGAATTTTGGAATCTTCTCCAATGCCCAGGAGCGACGGATACTTGGTTACTTCCCAATCATACTGCATTCAGATCTCAGCTAATTCATTCAGTAGAGTTCTGTTGGAGTGAATATGTTCCAGCTGCTCATATTTCTCATTCATTACCAACAATCATTTCACCTGGCTGTCAGTCTCTAAACTTAATTTCAAGATCCTTCTGTGTGAATGAAGCTCCTAAGACTTCACTGACTTTCTTTGTATCAATAGATTTTGAACTTAGACTAAATTTCGAGTATCTAATTTGTCCTTTTGCAATAGCAGCAATGTTATTAAATTCAGCAACTCCTCCATTAACAACAATAGCATTGATTCCTTTTATGATCGCTTCAGAAGCATTCTTTTGGAGAATAATTATCTGACTAGAATTATCCAAATTCATTCTTTGGTTGTCAATGTCATAAATTGCAAGTTTGAGAGATTCTTCAATAGTAATACCTGATCCAATGCTACTCAGGGTAATATCTTGATCAGTGGAACCATCTGAGATTCCTATCTTAGCAGGATAACTAGCAAAATTAGGCCCATAATCTGCAGTATTACTGCTAAACATAGTGTTTAATACTCTTGGATTATTGTAGTTATAATATATTGCTCCTCCACTCACTCCTGCCTTATTTTCTATGAAATTCGAGTTCACAATATTCAGCTCACAATTAGACATGCTTGTTCACTCAAAGGCTATCGCTCCTCCAGAATATGCAGAATTATTCCTGAATGTGGTTTCTTCAATAGTTATTTTACTATCAATAATCTTAATGGCTCCTCCTCTAGTAACATTTGTTTCAGCATTATTAGAGAATGTTCAGTTGCTCATTTTTCGAAGATCTGATTCTACAAATTCAAGACTCTGCTTGCCATCACTAATTTCTAAGTTGTGTATCAGAGAAATATTTGAAGAAGAAAACTGGGCTAATTTGTATTGGTAACCTGAGAGTTTGATGTTCATCACCTCAAAATCGTTTGAACCCTGAATGCTTATTAATGAATTAGCTGTTGCAGTAGTATTTATTAATAATAAGGTGTCTATTTTAAATTGGCCACAGTTCAGAGCTCCGATCAAACCTTTTTCATTTGCCACATTGGTAAATTTAGTGTAGTTCATAATTCCAGTTGAAAACGATAACTGAGCTACTCTATAATTTGCGTTTATAATCGCCAAGCCATAAGACTCCAAAGTTCCAGAAATTATTTGAATGAAAGAAATGTCGTCCTGAGCATTCAGCTTAGTTCAATTAGCAATTTCGAGATTGTTCAGAGTGGCAGTAGTAGAAACCAAGCTCATTGGAGATTGAGTAAAATCTATATCAAACAGAGTGGAATTTTCAATTCTAAGAGTAGAAGAAAAACTGTCTAGAATTGAAGAACAATTAGAGATTCTTGTATTGTTAATAATATAAACCTCAGCTTGAAGTAATTGCATCAGAGTATCAATCTCATGAATTGTGGAGAAGTTCAAGTTATTCAGATAATCTTTCATGATGTTGTCCAAAAATCATATTCTGCTGCAATTTGAAGAAAGCTCACCAGCCAAATCGCTTTGTTGAATTGCACTGTTTGAATACATCTGAGTGCCACTAATAATGGAAGGAATGAAAGCTGAGAAGAACGTCCCAATTGAATACTCTATTGCATAATTTCTATACATAAAGCTAAGGTAGATTTCCAGGACTGCACCTGACGCAACCTCGAACACGCCATTTGTGATTCCAAAATTGTCGGATATTATACAATTTGTTCAGATGATACTTGCTTCAGTCTCCGCTCTGAAGACTGGAGAGACAATTGCTGAGTTATTTCGGAACACTGAATCTTCAATTTTAATTACAGACCTTTCAGATGCTCTGATTATTCCTGAAATAAGATTCATTGATGTAAATCCAATAAAAGAGCTATTACTGATCTCAAAGACTAAATTATTGCTAGTCGAGATGAATGGAACTATAGGAGTAGTTACTTCTGAAAAAGTAGAGTTCACAAACTTGAATTTTGTAGTGAGATCATTTAATTTATTTCCCTCTGCATCAATAGTCCCAGAGCTAATCCTAGAAATCGACGAATTTTCAAAGTAGACCGTCGTTGGAAGTTGGTGCTTCATCTCTACCAATGAGCCAGTGGTTACAAATTCCACATTTTCAAACTTCAATAGATTGAACTTGATGTTGAGGTTGAGATCTCCAACAAATCCATTGGTAGAAATCAGAGACCTCGGAGTGGGAATGCTACAGTCAAAGTATCCAATATTATTAAATGCCATGTTTCTTTCTAAGCTTGTGAGCTTGGTAATTATTCCAATACTGAACAATGAAAGAGAAGAGTTGGTAATAGTAAAGTTTGAGAATTCAAACTGAATCATTGTCTCAAGATTCAGTGATGCGATATTTATTATTTTCTCTCTATTTCCAGCAGAGCTTATAGGTCTAGCATTCTCAAGAGTCACATTAGATATTGCCAGTGAATTTATAGACAAGAAACTAATCAAAGATTGGTCATCAGGAGTTTGAGCATCTTTGAACATGAGATTGGTTGCAGTGACCATCATTGGAGCAGCATTAATATATACCAAAGGCACAGAGGCTATTTTCATATCTTCAAAGTTCAAGTTGTTTAGAAATATTGAACTTGTTTCAGGTAGTATAATTGAAAATAGAGAAATTTGAGTATCTCCTTGATTGCTAAAATTCTTGAAGTAGATGTCTTCAATCTGAATGTCTCCAAAATTAGTAATTTTTAGAAGCTCTGATGGATGGTTCAGACTATTCTCTACAGTAAAATTCTTAACTTCCAAATCTGCAAGAGCTGAAATTTCCATAAAGAATAGATTGCAGGAAACATTGTGAAATTTGAAATTTGACAGTTTTGCTTTTTCTGATCCTGCTGCATACAAGTAAAATAATCCATATTCCCAATCTTGAACAATGTCGTAGTAAGTAAAATTTTGCATTTCTATATGAATGCGACGATTAGGAACAGCAAATGCAACGATTGGGGCTGCAAACATATATCCTGTCCCAGCATCTATTGGCCTCCCATCAAAATTAATGGAATCGTAGTATATATTTTGAAGTAAGTCGTCATCTGGAACTCATACTGGGTTATACCCGACTATTATTCATGGATCAAGGTTTTTGTTTATAGGATATGCTCCTCAATCAACATCTATTATGCTATGATTTCCTGGCAGCGAAGACATAAGTATGGAATAATCATATGATGATCTTTCAATTGAGACTTTTGGAGTTATGGTTTTTGCGTACATAATACTTTGAGTATAGGCTTCAGGATAATTTCAGAAAACATTCAATGTATCAACGAAACGACCCCACCTTGATACATCCACAGTAATGTTCTCTAAATGCATAGACATTGGATCTTGAACTTCGAATGAGAATCCAGTAGTATTAAAATCCATTTCATCTAAATAAGCATTATGTACACGTTCTGGTGATTTCACCAACTAGCCAAAACTTGCTAATCTTCACAAAATCCAAAGCCTCTCAAAACCTTCCCAGACCTCTCAAACCACTCTCAAATACCCTAAACTCTTCAAAATCCATGTGAACCCTCTGTCCTATCAATAATCTCAACCTAAAGAAAATCTCTCTAAAATCCTACCCTCACTCCAATTCCCCTTATACTACAAAAACTCAGTACAAAAGTGTTTACAACTTTCTAAAATCCCTTACTTTCCAAAGCTATTTAACAAATCTCACTTAAAACAACTGAAAGGGTTACTATCAAACTTTAGATGTGACTAGAGACTTCAAAGAGGATTATTGATGTTTCATGAATTGGTGATTTAGAGAGGTATTAAGAGGTTTGGTTAGAAGAAAAATATTGGAAATTCCAGAAAGATAAGGATTGTTAGGCAAGAAGGTTATATAAGCAAAAAGATTGGTAAGTTTTCTTACAAGGCTTTTTACCAGTATTTTATTGAAATGCAAGTATGGTTAAAGTTAGGGGTATGATAAGATTTAAGTATGAGATATATGAGGATGGGAGACATAAAAATGTTATTTATATTCACAAGCATCATTGTTTTTATAGTTTTTACACACAATTAATATTACATTTAAGAAATTAGTAGAAAATTCTCAAAAAGAAATTGGAATTGATAAAAAGGATTTTAGGTTCTTTAATAAAGAGTTTTAACTCATAAAACCCTGGAGTTGTTATAGTGTAGAAGTCCTTCTTCTACTTTTGCAAATAAGAGAAGCTAAACTCTTCAAGTATATCAGAATCATTTTAATGATATTCCTTTATAAATTTTTGAATTTAATCAATAATTAGCACATTTTTAAAAAGTGTAAAATATTCTTTTAAATATTTTAGTTATTTAAAAAAATTGTATCGAAATAAAATAGGAAAAATAAGTGTTCTTAGTGCCTATCTTCTTTCTTCTTAAATTTTATAAAATATAGAAATCTTTATCAGTCAATTTTTAAAGTGATTGGATTGGCTGGCTCTTAATTAAATTATGCCAAGTTTGATAACTCAATGAATGTCAGCAATATTCCTCATAGAAAAAGTTGTATCTTGCTAATTTCCCGAATACTAGTGAAACTTACATAATTTAACTTGCTTTTCTTGGAGATAAATTGGTACTCAGAAGAACTCAAGCTCATTACTGTGTATATCTACGTCAAATATCTCCAAGTTCGTCCTGGCAAGCACAATCCCTACATTTATTTTGGATAGTGAAGACATCTCTCTTTCTCCAAATTGCCCTATCTTGATGACATCGTTATAGTTGATATTGGTGTTCTTTAGAAGATGGAAGCTTGCCTTCTTAGAAATTCCATGCTGGTGCTGGCTGGTGAATGAAATTTGTGCTCTCCTGTATGATAGCTGATAATCTGGATGAGCTGTGATTATAATTCTTGTCATGTTTATGAAATAAAAAGTATCCATTTCAATGAAGCCATCTTTTATGAATAATTTGACTTCCAAATTTGTGTTGCTATAATGATTTATGATCTCTGATGCTGCTGACTTGAAAGTTCTATAGGGGAATTCAAGAGTCCCTAATTCAAGTAGTTTCTGGCTTCCAGGATCAATATAGATGCTTAATGTTCGACATATCTTATCAATATTCATTCTATCTGAGGTAATTTTAATTTGACCTGAAGAGCAAGAATCAATACATTTTAATGTATTGATATCTAAAATTTTCTCAGGAGGGCACTCGAATCAAGAAGTTTGATATAAACATTGGCTTTTTCAAACACCGTTTCATGGGAGTCAGTTATCACCGATTTCATCATAATATTGACCCTCTGGGCATGCTTCTCAAAGTCCTGTTGTATAATTTTTTCTCATAAAATTTTCTCAACTGTCTCAAGTTGTGATATCAGATCAAGTCTTGCAGGAGCTATCTCAAGGAATTCAGTTTTCACTTTCTCCAAAATATCCATCATCTCACTTACTTGGATAAAAGGCTCAGACTTGTCCTCAAAAAACCAAAAAAATTATTGCTTGAATTATTTTTAATCGAAACAACTCAAATAATTTACAACTTTTTGTCTTTGTAAGATAATATCTTCCATAGAAATCTCTTCTATTTGAAGAAGAAAATATGTTTAGAAGTTGCAAAAACCCAAATTTACGAGAATAATACCATCCAATACCATCTTTGACCTCATCCATACTCTTTTTTCACCTCATCCTACTCTCAAATCTGCTCATATTTAATTTCTAACAAGATTTTCTATATTAAATTCCTTATATGGGGTTTTGGGGTTTTGGGGTTTTGGGG